GCACTCAGTACACTGCCACTCATCCTATAAAAACAAGTGCAGTCAATTAATTTTCAGTGGGGAACATGATGCTGAGAAAAAGGGAGGGTAGGGCAAATTCTCATTATCTCACTAAGCTAGTAAGAGTCTAGACATTACGCACGAGTGGTCTAGCCTAGAATTAAAACAAATTCTACAGCTATCTGTAAGAAACTCTTAAGAATTCTTGTTTTACAATGATACAATTGCCATTTTAAGCCAAAATTTAATATAGCTATATTAAAGAAAGCTATCTAGTCTCAGTGGAATTTACATTGTTTTGTTTTTCACACTGCCTTCTTTTTAGGTCATTTTCTCTTTGTACAACTCATTGAGCAGGAGGCTAAAGAATGAAGGAGAGATAGTACTCTGTCATTCTTTCCTATCAATTTAAGAAATGTTAAAAAATTTGGCAAAAAAACCCTACAATTATAAGATTTGAAAACTACTAAATTTACTCATGCTCTCTCACTGCTCTCAGGGATCATAAGTAGCTAATTGTATGTCTAGATCACACCCTCTGAAAAATGAATGTTCTTGTCCTTGAATGCCAAGTGATTTTTTTCCTACTTCTCCATATTCAAATTAGGAGACACTAGAGCTCAATAAATTTTATATGCCTTGCTTAGTTCAAAGATAGCTACCTGGAACAAGTCGAGAGTATTTAATGTGGATAATTGCCTGGCTTTGACAGGATCAATGATTTGACACAGGCTTACTTGATTACTTGCAGAATGGAGGCCAAGTACTTGAAGTTTAGAAGTTATAACTCAATTGCCTAGACTAAGAGGCAGGGACACAACCATTTGTTAAACTGGGATGTTCTCCAGAAAGCTTCAAAGTATTCTTGCCAATTGCAGATCCTTAGATCTCATCTGAAATGCTATACAAATACTCAAATGAACTTCATAAAGATGTGGAATTCATAATTGATGGTGTATCATGGTCTAATTGGCATTGCTTTTTCTTTTCTAGTAGTACATAAAATAATAAGGGTTATTAAATTCAATGGCATCTTTGATTTGATAAAATACAGTCTATTTGCTTAATAGGGTTTCTAGGCCCAAGTAGCCAAAGAAATCTGATGAAGATGGCAACACTGATCTCTGCTATTTATATTATGGTCAAGAACATTTACTTAATGAACCAATATATTCCACTTATTACTTCGCTATGCAGACAGATAATTTGCAATGAATTACCATAATGGTCAACAGTGATGGGGTGGGAGTGTGGGTGGAGGATCAACACCAGAGACAATCAAAAAAAAAAAAAAAAAAAAAAAAAAATCTAAAATTTTTCTATCCCCAAGGAGCAAAATGTAACATCCTCTCCTTCTCCTTCCCCCACTACCCTTTTTCTCACAGTGAGTTAGCTGAGGGAAGTACTAAAAGGAAAACAGGGAACTAGCATGAAAATAGAAAACCAAGGAACACAACTGACAACCTGAGTTGTTAACTGGTGACAAATCCATACCTATTACCTAACAGCTTTAATACTAATTCTTCATTTATTAGCCCTCTGTTAATATAAACCTGTGTGGAAATTAAGCCATTTTGTTTCTTTTTAAGAAAGTACTGATAATATTTTTATACTTGACAAAGAATTTTAGATAGCTTACAGGTCTCTTGGACATTAGAGAGTTGTTTAGTAGGAAAAGTAGTGCGGGACTATTCTGAATAACTGTGTACCCACTGCATCATGTCAAGAGAGTTCAGCTAGTGGGGGAAAGGTACTCAGGGAGGCATTTCCGCTGTCTTTTTTCAAGGTAGGAAGAGGAGCAGATCAGCTCATCTCCTTCTCAAACTCCAATAAAAACCTCTAACAAAACATAAAGAAACCAACATCTCTTAACACCCAGGAAAGGTAGATAAAAATAAGGGAAATGGCATTCTTCACTTCAATGAACTGCTGGCACACTGACATCTGAAGGCGTGGGTGGTACAGAACAGCTTTTTACTAAAGATTCATACCTCAGAGGCAACCTCTACATCAGTATCATCACATATGGACTTCGAGTCCTCAAGGTCATCATTTTTTCCTGCTTCAATCACCTGTGACAGCAAAGACATCTCATTAGGAAGGTTTACCTATTTCACATGAGGTTATTACCTAAGAGCAGAAAAGACAAAATCTCACATTCTCCCTGCATCACTACCATTTAAAAGGGAGATCATTTACATACGAGACCAAAACCATGATTCTAGCATGAGAGTTACTGAATGTCTTCGGCATTCAGAAGGGAGAGGGTACCCAAATTTATGACTTTAAAGAAAATAAACATTATCAGAGTTTAAAAGAAAAAAATTATTAAATGTGGAAATTTGTCTTGGGAATCTAGGTAGGCATTATAAAAGCACTGTATAAAATAAAGAACTTAGGTGTGAAGAATGAAAACAAAGTATTTAAAATTTTTAATTCATATTCAAAAGTACAATTTGTTATGTTATACTCTGGGTATCCTATAACAGCATGCCCATGGACCAGGAAACAAAAAGAAATGTGGGAAGTGTCCTGTAAATTTTTAAATTTAGAATTTAAAATTCTAAAACTTAAAACACTAGTTTTCTGACACAGTAACTTATAATACAACTATGACCCTATATATAGCAACTTCTCGCAAAAGTTCAAGTATTTTAAGCCCCATCTCTATAGAAGTTTCCAAATGTCACCTTTGTCTTCATTCCAGCCTTGCATTCCCTTCTAATGCTGCCCATATAACTAGAAGCACCCAAGCATCTATCTGCCTACCACAAATGTACCAAAATATCCTCTAGGAACCCAAATTCCTTTGAAAATCCTTTACATTGAAGGGGTAACTCAATTTAGGTGTTTTTTGCTATATTCATTCAGTGACTATTTACTGAGAATCTTGTCCATGTCAGGCGCTGGATCTGGTGCCCAATTTCTTTTGAGACTTGAGCACTTGCTTGTATAACTCTTCCTCTTGGTATGCTCGCACCATGTGTACTGTGAGTTCTAACTTCCTCTTTCTCCATATTTAAACTCTGTAATATGTAGAAAGAACTCATCTATTTCTATTTAGGTTTAAAATGATTATGAAAGCTATTGAGATGTCCAAGCAAAAAAGGATTTTCTTTTCCTACAGGCTATTGTGGCCATTAAGAACTTTGCCTTGTTAGCAAAGCAAGTTTTCCAGAAGAAAAAAACTCTACAATTAGACTAGGCAAGGAGGAAAAGGGTAGCTTATTGCTTCTAACAAAGAAGGAGTTTTACTTGTGAAGTCCTATCCTATTTTTAAGGCAGCGTTTGTTAACTTACTGTGCACCTTTAAATTAGATATAGGAAAAGATTAAAAAAGGAAAGGGGAGAGGAGATTATGTGAATCATTTGTTGTACAAGGAGGTATAGTATAGGTCAAGTCACCAGATGTGAAGAGATTATACTATGCACACATAAATACAATCAATGTGAAATATTTCCACGACATACCATTTTCACTTGTTTGCTCAGTATCAGCAGCTTCAATTTTTATTCCAACACCAAAATGCTCTGATACTGACTCATTCAAAAACCACACATCATCTGTTGTATCTGAAACAATGGCAGTACCTATATCCTAACAGAAAAAAACAAACATGAGTTTTTGTAATCAGAGGCTTATCAGAGATGAATGAACATAAATTAACCCAAAACTCAATATCCTCACAAATCTCCAAAAAACACCTAGCCTTTCTCTAATTGACATCTATTCATTCAACAGACAGCTACTTGGCACCTATTATGTAAAAGCTAATGGATGAATATAAGGGTGCCTGGTGAGGAATTTTCTATTTTAACAGTAAACCAGGTATAACAGCTGAGAAACAATACTCTTGAAGAGCTTGAAAACTAAAGACTCACAGTTGCTCGAATAAATAGAATCCACTCTCTATATTCATTCCTTTCCACACATGAAATTTTGAGAACCTAGGAAACATTCTATTAATTGTGACATATTCTTTCCTTTAATGATCAATAATGTTTATGGAAGAAATGTGAGAAATACTGATGGTAGCTCAAACTTTATCCTCTTTCTGAATTCTTTCTGCATTCAACTATGGACATTTTATGACACACTGTTCTATAACATTCTTAAGAAACAACTTATTATTTTGCCATTATATGTCCATTCATTTACTGAACAAATACTCACTGAATGCCTATTATGTGTTAGATACTGTTTTAGGTACTAGGCAATAGAGTAGAGTGGTCAATAATACAAAAGCCCTGGACTTATATTTCAGTGGGGATAGAGTCAATAAATACATGCATAAAACATGATAATCATTTTACGAAGTGAGAAGTGCAATGCAGAATATAAAATAAGATAAAGGAGCAGAAAGATGATGACTTGATTTAGGGTATGACAGTGGAAATAATAAAAAGTGACTGGTTAGACTTCGGATGTTTTGGATATCAAATAATCTGCTGAAAACCTGAGTGTGGCATATGACAGAGAAAGAAATCAATCATATCCCTTGATATTTGGCTGGAATAACTGGGTAGAGGGTAGACTTGTGAAAAAGGCTGGATAGGAACGTTCGGTAAAAGAAAAAAAAAGAGGTCCGTTTTGCACATGTTACATGTCAGATCATCTAAGAAGAGGTGTTGAGTAGTCAGGATATGGAAGTTGGGCATTCAGGGGAGAGGTCTGAAGATACAAATTTGGGCATCATATGCATACAGATGGCACTTAAAGTCATAGCACTGTATGAGAAATCTTAGAGAATGCAATGTGTGGTCAAGAGTAAACAAGACTGCTACTCTTAAAAAAAAAAGTTCCTCTTCAAAAGTGAAATTTACCCGATTTGTCTGTAAATCAGTTGAGCCATTACTTCTAGGAGTATAATTGTTTCTCAAGTTTCCTAAAAACCACCAAGGCAGGCCGGCTACATCCCACTCCTCAAGCCCGAGGTCCAGCCTAGATGTCTCATCTTGGGTTAAATTTTCTATTAAGTCTTCATCTACAGAAGTCAAATGAAAAGGATGATAACTATGTACACAACCCTTAAAAATAAATTCTCTCTTTATAATACTTACAATCTTTTCATAAGATAAGTAAAAAGAAATTCCTATTCCCAATAAGAATCAGAAATCAAATCCCTGTCTCAGTTGCAGAGCCCAAATCTCATTCCCTGTTTAGCCTTCATTAGCAAGTAATGACACTAGAAGAAGACAATCATTTATCAAGAAATCCAAACTCTGAAAGCATCTAAACAATGACATTGTTCTAAAAGGATTTCTAAATGGTCATTTATTTTCATTTTAAACATTCTTACCACTGTAATAACTAAACAATGACTTGCTCTAGTACATGGCATCTGATAATGGCTTGATCCACTGGGCTGCAAATGGTGATGACCTAGTGGCCCAGCCCTTAAGACAGAAGCAAGGCAGTACAGACCATGACACAAGGCAATCAAAACGTTGTCAAGGCAGTCTCACTGGCACCACATATTTTGGGACAGTCCTCAATAATTTGTGTTTGATAGGTAATAACCACTAAAAATGTTAAACTCTACATTGTTTAAATAAATATATGCATATGTCCCTTCTGGATCAACGGGCTCTTTTGGCGGTAAGCCATCTATATCTAAACGTACTGCGAATCCAAAACACATAAAGCCCCCACCTATTCCAAGTAAAAGACCTTGTGTCATACATCTAAATGACATTCAAGGCAGTTACTAACATAAGTTTGTTGTTACTGTATAAAGTTCTTTTCTTTCCTTCTCATCAGGCAATCTTTTTTGCTGCACTTTATTCTTTTCCTACTTTCTTACTCTCCTCTACCTCTTCTCCCAATGCACCAGACATACCAATGGCAACCACGGGTGTTTAAATGTGCTAAGGTACAGATGGTTGAAGAAATTTCTACAATAAATGGGTCCCTGCTAGAAATAAAGGTTATTCCACCTACTAATAAATTATGTTGATCCTGCTTATTAAAAGGCAGATCTGTGCTCAGGGAAATTTCAACTACCTTTTTACTTACTCATTGCTGAAATTATCAAAAACCAAACTCCTAAGATGGGTATTACAGTTATCGTCATCTACCCAAGCTCTATAACTTCTCATAAAAGGAATGGAAATAGGCTATTCTTTCCACACATAAAAATTCCCTCCTCTCTACTTACTTACCTTCCTGCAAATACTAAGCTATTTATTAAAAATTTATTCAAATTTTACATCACAAATGACATAAACTGGCCGTTCTTATATTTTAAACAGACTTCTAAGTAGAAAATATGGATCTGCATTTAAAGAAACAAAATTATACATTAATGCCACATAGACTGAAATAAACCTTTCCAAGGTAACTAGGGAGCCCAAAATTTAGTTTATACTCAAATGCAATGTGAACAAAACAATCCGGCATGATAAATTAATTCCATTTTACCTTAAATGTTTAAAACAATTTCAATAGTACAACTCCAGGATGTTGCTAGATATCTGAGTGCCACTGTTCCACATGTGAGCCAGGTGCCTAGACTGGAGACCATTATGTCGTAAAATACTTTTGAGGAATTTTTATACATCTTTGCCAGAAAAAAAAAATTAGGAGATATTTTATAAGTAGGGCTTGGGGAAAACTTCCAAAATATCAATTAACTCATTTAACCTGACCATACCATATCTAGTATGGATGGCCAAGATCTGATGACTTCCACTTAAGGGCAAAGGAACTACTAGGTTTCTTATGTCTCATTCTTGGCTATGAGATACTAAGTATATTTTATCATCTTTGCAACTTTCAAAAAAAATCTATAAAAATTTGCATCAAACAAACAAATCAAAACAAAGTGTGTACAGGGGTGCCAAGATTTAAAAAAACCAAGGCAGCTAAGTTACCAGGTGGCAAACTGATAAATGTGTAGCTATCTTTTGTTAGCATGCTAGCCAAAGGAAGAGTCTTGCTCCATCCCAGTAGTCATGGGTTGCTAAAAGAGCACTGCCATCTTCTTCAAAGTTAAAAATGGTGATAAGGGTGAAAAAAAGGTTTTCTGAAAAGAATGAAAAATAAGTATGACATATGTCCCTCCTACTTCATATGCAAAGAGGCAGACTTTTTTACTTCTCTAGGTCACTGTATTAATTACAGCTAGTGCTTAATTAAGATAGATGCCATATCTAGAAGTCATCAGTCAAAAAGAAAAAAAGTTTACACAGCCTTAATCCAAACCTTACCTTCTCTAGAATTTGTATATTTATGCTGTGAGGTAGGCAGTGTGGAAATATTGCCTTCTTCAATACTTTTCCTGGAACTGGAACTTTCCTCTGCACTTTGCTGAAAAGAAGAGAGGCGTCTATCAGTGCAGTAGAAATGCTTGAGACCAGGGGATGTAGCAGTTCCATTCTGGCTCACCAGTTAGTGTGCAACACAATGAGTTACGCACAAGAAAGAGAACTCTGGAGTTCACAACAATCACCAAATAAAAGCAACGTCTCTCCTCAACCCACTGTGAGCAGAGCTAGGAGAATCCCAAACCTGGGGGTAAAAAATCTCTGCATAAAAGACCAAAATCTACCGTTAAAAACAGCCTATCAATATAAAGGCTTTAGCCTACTAAAAAAAAATAGGTATAATTCAGAAAACGTGAGATTCTCACTATATACCAAGATGATCATAAGGTTTTCCCAGGTTTGGGGAAGCTTTAAGAAATGGCCTGACATGAATTGCAACGAGCCTGTTAAAATCTAATAAAGCAGTTCCCTCAAACACTATGAACGTACACCATCACATACACACAAGGTGCAAACACAAACCCCAAAGAAAATGCAACTGGAAGAACTGAAGATCAGAAGTGCTACATCCCAAAGAAAGACTCAGAGACTGGAACTCTGTTACGGGCAGAACAGAGAGAATGTTCACTCTGCCCCTGGTCTGTGAACTCCCAAGAACCTTTCTTATTAAATTCTTACCATATTCAGCAAAAGGTCTTGGGAGTTCAAGATCCATAGGTACAGAGAAGGGGCCACTCTGTACAACAAAAGAAGTCACCATGCGGTGATTTTACCTTCAGTTGGTCTTGACTTGGAATATCCATATTTTGATCCTGTGCGATAGCGAGAGTCTGAGCCGCATCTGGATAGCAAGTAAAACAAAAGGAAAACCTTCCCTGGTAATAACCATTCTTTCCACACAAAAAGGACCTCAGCAAACAGCCCTGGAGCCAGGTTTGGTCCCTAGAGATTACTTCTCCATGTTGGTTGGACAAGGTTCTCACCCAAAGGAATGAAAAAAATCAAAACTAGTAAAAACTGCAAAAACCAAGGCAGGCTATATTCAAAATATATTACCAAAATATAATCTGAAGGAAAATGAAAAATGTCTACAAAATATTCTTCCATAGCAAGTTTTCAAATTTTAATGTGAAAAGTAATTCAAAGCAGGGAATAATGGGGAATATTTTTTATCATCTCTTCCTGTAGGTGGTTAATTACCAGATTTTTCTAACTTATAAACAACAAAAAAGGTTTGACTTTTTAATTTAATTTTTATTTTCAAATGTTAAAAAGTTATTAAGGGTTATAAAATCTGAAAATCTGGAATTTTCTTCACTTGCTTCATAACACAACAGCATCTTCATGTAAACTTACATTCTAAATGTCGATGATTTCACAGATTAAATTCCCATCATTTGAATGTAAATAAATTTTTTTAATCAACAAGTCTTATTTTTCCCAGTTACTATAAACATTTCCTAAGAAGGAAGAGGAAGCAGGTAAGTTTTTCTCAAGGCTAATAAAAAGAAGCAAAGAAAACAATAACCTGAGAGAAATTCTTCGCTAGTCTCAAAGAAATGTATTTCAAGAACTTGGAAATTAGATGTGGTTCCATAGTGTAGCGGTTAGCACGTCTGCTTTACATGCAGAAGGTCCTGGGTCTGCGCCCCAGTGGAGCCATGGTCTATGGTCTACGGCCATGCCACCCTGAACAAGCCCCATGTCTGATCTCAGAAGCTAAGCAGGGTCAGGCCTGGATAGTACTTGGATGGGAGACCACCTAGTGCTGTAGGCATAAATAAAAAAATAAATAAAAAAAGAACTTGGAAAATTTTCAAGCAGAATAGAAGGTAAAAACTTAGCTACAGGAAAAGAACTACAGAGAATTTAATCACCTGGACCACTAATTATATGAGGCTATACATAATTGAAATGCATACAAATAAGTCTATCGCAAGTTGGGTTCATCAGCTACTATCAGGTGCAGAGAGAGACCTGATGGAAAATATCATCCTCATCTAATACGGACTGCCAGAGAAAGAATACTGATCCCACAACTGGTATGACAGTTCTGTTGTCTCTCAAAGCAAACATTTTCAAAACTGTAATTATAAAGAGCATTATTTCTAGAAGCATTTTTATAGATAAATGGAGATACTGCAAAGTTTAAAGACAGCATTTTAGACCACAGTGGTCTTTAAAGATCAATTTATACAATGCTCATGAAGCATTTCTTTAGTAAAGTAATTTGATAATTGTCATTTGTGTTCTAAAGCCTACTACTCAGGTTAAACAATTAGAAGCAAAAAGAACTTGTCTGGGAAAATGACAATGTACAAAGGAATTTAAATATAAATAAAACATTTGTCATATATTTCATTTCATTAGTATGTATGTGGAAATTTGGAGAAATGGTTTTATTAAAGAACCACCTTCGCTTCAAATAATGACATTTTCTTCAACCATCAAAATAAAAGGTTTAACTCGTTTACAAAGGTATAAAACAGGCAATATAGAAAATAGTTGTCCTTTTAAATAAAACAGGCAACCCATTTTATGAAAATCAACAGAGATGGCCATTACAAGTAACATTACAAGTACTAATCCAAGTGAAAGTTAGGGTGAACAATGAATTCCTTTGAGGCAATTTCCTGGTTTTGATCATTGTACTATGGTTATGTAAGTAAGGTGTTACCATTTATGGGACCTAGGTGAAGAGTGCAATATAATATCTCCTCTACCACTTAATCAGTGGCACCTGATCTGGGACAAATCACTCTACTAAAAAATCTTTAGTTTCTTTATCCCCAGACCTTCCTTACTGGGATGTTGTGAAGATCAATTGAAATGTTTGTTACAGAAATGTTCGTTTTAACATATGGCATGTTAAATTCTGCAGAGGAAGTGCAAAAAAAGAAAATGAGAGTAAAAGCGAGATTTCTATGCACTCTAGATATTCAAGAAACAGATCAGAAAACAAATTTTACTGAGAGCAGAGTAGAAAATATAAAATCCTCTGTGTATTCCAAGCCTGTAGTGACTATCCCAGAAAAGCCATGCTATTTCACAAGTGACTAAATTTCAATAAAGCACCGTATCATTTGCAAGTCCTTCCCTCTTAAACAGAAATTTACAGCTGGTGAAGTGGGCAAAGGTTCAATGAAACCAAAAATGTTAAGTTCATATAATTTAAATTTCATATACTTTAAAGTGTAAACCTTTATTAGGAATAGATTTTTTTCAAGCTATTTGTTTTAGTAAACTATTGAAAGATTGCCAATCTAAAGGGATTACAAACTTGGGCTTTCTTCAAAGGACAATATTAACTAAAATCTGATTTGAAGCTCACAAAAGGGCTTTAAGAGGAAATAAAGAAAAAAGTTTCACTATTTGGAAATGAGATATAGGGTTATATTTCAGTAGTTTCCAGTTTAATTTGGTTCTGTCTAACACAACACACTTCAGACCCAAAGCAGCCAGTTTCCTGCTCATACCTAATAAGTTAAACTTAGAGAGCAGTACTTAAAAGGAATGCAATCCAGCAAAGTTTTAGACAAATTGGTCTTAAAATAACAGAGCTAAAACCATTAGGTGAAATGTTGTTGGGGGACCCTTCTAAGAGATGGGTCAAGGTTACACCATGTGAGCCCACAGAATCTTACCATCACTAAAAGAGGGACAGGCAGACCTTACATGACTGATGTAAAGCTACAAAGCACCACTTATGAAACCTTCTGGGCAAAACATTTAAACTTGAACCTATTCAAGTGCTACCAGTTTACCAAAAATAGAATAGAGAAACATGTTAAACAACATCAAACAATACAATCTCCAAACTCTCGAATGTAGGAGATGTTACAGAACAAATGATCCATTTCTTCACAAAATAAAAGACATAAAAACAAAAGGAGCATTAAGTTTTATAGATTAAAGGAGAACCAACCAAATATAATGTGTGGACTTTGCATCCCGATTTGAACAAGCAAAATATGAGATATTTTTGAGATAACTGGGAGTAACTATATATAAATTGGCTATTGGATAGTATTACGCAGTTATTATTTATTATTAACTGCTGGGTGCAATAATGGCATTTTAGATACGTTCGAAAGAAAAAAGTCCTTATCTGTTAGATTTTAAAAGTATGTCTAGATGAAGCAAATATGGCCAAGTAGTAACAATTACTAAGTCTAAAAAGCACACGTCACTTATACCAATCTATCTTTAGTATAGTGGAAAATTTTTGCAATAAAAACTTAATTACACAGTAATCACATTCTGTGTGACAGTATCCCTCCCGGTCATGCCAAGACAGCATTCTATCTCCATCTTGATCTTTCTTGTTTCCCCATCATTTGCCCCCTTTAAACTCAAAGCTATGATATAGACTGAAAAAATACGATGTGACATACCTGTAGTAGCAGTGGTTAAAGCGACAAGATTCCTTCTTAGCATAGCATAGAGAGGGCTGTCGAAGAGATAAAATAAAAAATTAATAACTCCATGGCTTTCTATTAAGTGTATTTCTGATACGCTATCTCCCAACTTCATAATATATGGAGAGGCAGAATTTTTTCACCAGAATATATCTTTTTTAATTATTAAAATATCAAGATGTTAATGCTCAAGCCCTTGTGTTATTCTGTCCCCATTAAAAAACTAACTAATTTACATTTTATTTAGCTAATAGTAACCCAAGTGGGAAGACTTCCTTTATAGACTATTCCTTCCCTCTAGGAGTTAAGTTTTACATTTTAATTAGGGAGTTGGGGTGGAAGGAAGTTTTACCAAAATAAATGAGCTCAGAAGAAAGTCTGCACAAAGCTATAGAAACAAAGAGAACACTGACTTCTCAATTACTAATTAGCTTTTGATTGTATAAATAACCAAATATCTCTGCAGCTAGAGAAGTTCACACAACAGGTCACAGCAGCTCTGTTTTTTTATGAAGCTCTTCATCAACCTCAAACTGCTCAGTAATTCTACATCCCTCACCAGCTCATTCTTCCTCCCTCCAACAACTGTTTCACAAAATTCTAACCTAGTCACATCAAGCTCCCTACTACCTGGGCCTTTACACATGATTTTCAATCTGCTGGATGTGCTCCTTCAAATCAGCCCCCTCTAACTGACTCTTTAATTATCCTTTAGCTCTCAGCTTATATACCACACTTCTTCAAGGAAACTTTCCTTGACCCCTAAGACCCTTAACCACACCCCAGAACACAATTTCATGCACCTCTTTTCTGTAACACTTATCACAGTATAATTTTACCATGTATTGGTGTGATAATTTGATTAAGATGGGTAAGAGCACCTGTCTCACTACTCTTTAATTAAGCTTCATAAAATCAGGGACTATGTTTGTTGCTCACTATTTTCTCAGTGCCCCAGAGGTCACCTGACATATGTAGGCCCTTAAATATTTGTTGACTAAAGAAATAAATAAATTAATGACTTATGGAGAATAAGTGATTAGGTATAAGAACCCAAAAAGATAAAGAAACTCTGTCTCTTTTTACCTTGGATCTTTCACAGAAAAACTCTGACATCCTAGTAGTTCTCCCAAAAGATCTCCACCACAATATACCATATGCTGCTCTCTCGGATCATAAAGCTGCTTCATCGTTATATACTGGCCTAGATAGTGCATGACCTGCATGGGAATAAAATACTATGAAGAGATATGTCTAGCTGCTGCCAAAAACACACTAATTATGAGGAGATATGGTCAGTTAAGTTTCCTAGAGAAAGAGACAACATATTTATGAACATGACTGATTGTAAGGAGTCCAGGGTCCTACAACAGGATAGTTACACCCAACTACTAGGTTCATCCACTTATTATCACATTAACAGACCCTTACTTTTTATAATAGAAATGTTCTGGTCTGACAATGAGAAAAAGTGGTGAATTTACCTACTATCTGCTTAAAAAATTTTCTCACCAGTCCAAATAAAGGGGTCTGTTCTATTACTAAAAGTAATAAACTTTAAATTTGCCTAGGTCATAAAATGTTTTCCAAGTCCAAGAGCACATAAGTACTACAGGTTTTTTATGTGTTCACTTAATTCTTTTTGATAAATGAAGTACAAAGCCATCAGCACTATAAGTGTATAAAACAGATTCTAAGTGTTTTATCAAAACTTTCATCTATATGGCTTTTTTCAGAGTTCACAAAATAGAAGGGAACACAGACAAGTTCATTATTCAAGTTAAAAATTCTCTAAATTTTTTTCCTAATGTTTTCTCCATGTAACAGATTTTTTAATTGCTTAATAATTAAGTTCACTTAATGGCAGTAAGAATTGTATTAACGCAAATTACAACGAGCACACCAAAGCAGCTCTCTTTATCTTTAGGCCCCAATGTCTCAAGAATTATTAGATATTTGTACAGAAAATTTTTTCTGACACTGTTCCCATTACACTGGAGTAATGATGCTCCTGGGCTCCCCTCCATCCCAGGCAACATGTCCCAGTATTAAAGTTCTCACATCTAATCAAATATCTAGAGGAAAAGCGCCTACTGAAAGAAAAAGGTGGAAGTTTCATATGTATATCTGTCCAACTTTCAGAAAAAATAAATCCATTCTAAGTATACAATATAATAAAATCTTCTAAGACATTACTTTAACCCCCTGGCAATGGGCAAAAAGACCTGATTTGTGGTGCTGTTCTTATATCAGTCAGGGGGAAAGCAGACGTACAGTCCTTTGTTCATCCTAGCTTGATGCCTGGGTTGGTGGCCAAAGCTATTTCATGCCTGGGGCACATAAAAAAATAATAAATAAAACACTACTCTAAATTTGTATATATTACTACTATTCTCATTATACCATACTGTCTCAATGCACATACTGAGAACCAATATTTAAAAATAAAAAATTTAGGGAATTCTTCTTTGTGCACCAGGTAGAGTCAAGATTCAAAATAGAGAGCATATCATGTAAACTGACTCTGTTTGACTTTTGCCCAAGTAAAACATTCTCCCTGAATGACACATACTTAATTTCTTAACCCAAACTCTGCCATGCTATTGAAGGAGGTAATATAATTCCTTATAACAACTTTATTAATATAAAAATCCATGCTTTGAAAAGTCTTATCAGAATTTTGGAGATATATTCCAAAATGATGCACTTAATTTAAAATGATAAAGGAAATATGAGTATTCTAGAAAATCTGAAATGCCTCCAGAATTGTTTCCTTGAAAGGTATAATGGAAGCGGTGAGGAGTGCAGTATTGCTGCTGACAGGTGTTAAGCTTTTAAGCAAAGAAAAAAAAAAGCTTGATAATTCTGTTTCTTCTGTTTAGGAAGGGTTAGATCTTTACCTTACTAAATGCAAGCAATTCGAAGAGATTAACATTTTAATACTGAATCTTTTCCACTTATAGAATTTGTTCGTTAAAAAAAAAAAAAAACTTAAGAAGCTAAGTAAGTTATTTAAATGCATGTTTAAAATAACTCACAGTGCTCAAAAAGAGTATCTGACACATTTATAACACAAAATTACTGCATTTAATTCCTGCCTGGCAGCATAACCTGTAAATCACAGAACTTCCTTTCTTAGGACTGATTTCAGAGCTACATACATATTCATCCGCTTCTACTTCTCGGTTGTTCTTAAAACAGAATTTTCTTTGATGGCTTACCTCTGTAACAGTGAAGATTTCACCTTGTGCACCTGCTGCCTGCAAAATCTTCAAAAGTGGCAGTTTTGGTCGTACCTGATGTAAACACAAAATAAACCTGCTATTTACATTTCAATTAGATTGGTTTCTGAAACCCTAGGAAACAAGAGAAGCTCCTTCAACTTTTTTTTAACAAACACTAGTACTTATAACTACAATCTTCCAATGCATAAAATAACTACAGATGATCAGATTACTACTTACCTTCCTGAAAAATTACATTTTAAAAAGACAGCACATTCACACCTACTAAGGTGGCAATAATAATAAGAAAAAAATAAGTGCTGGCAAGAACATGGAGTAATTGGAACCCCCTTATATATAGCTGGCGGGAATGTGAAATGGTGCAGCTGCTTTGGAAAACAGTATGACAGTTTCTCAAAAAGTTAAACATAGAATTTCATATGATCCAGCAGTTCCACTATAGGTATATACTCAAAAGAACTGAAAGCAGGGACTCAAAAAAGTATTTGTACACCAATGTCCATAGTAGTATTCGCAAAAAACAAAAGATGAAAAAACCCATATACCACTGACAGATGAATGGATAAACAAGATGTAGCATATCCATAAAAGGAACAGTGACTTACTTTGTCATCTCTTGACTTTGATTGTGGAGTCTGTTTTTAGCCACACAATTTTGTTTTTTAAATTTTATATACCCGTATTTGTCTCTCTCTTCCTCTTACAGCCTCCAGAGCTTTGTCTTAGGGCCTCCTTCATTTTAAAGTTTCACAAATATTTCCTAAATTGTCTCCTAATATTCATCATTTCACTTTTTACATCTAAATCTTTATCAATCTGAAATTTGGTTTTATACAAGTTTTGAGTTCTTAATTTGTTTCCTTCCAGGGATGGACGATTATATCAAAACCATTAATTATATAAGCCACATTTTCCCCATCAAATCCAAATTCCATGTTTATAATACATTAGGCTATATGTATTGTGCATTTTTATAAAAACATAAAATTATGTATTTTGATGTTATAGGAAAAGATCTGAAACAGACACACCAAATTAATAACAAAATAACAAGTGTTACCTTGGGGTGGGGGGAGGGAAGAGATGGGTCAAAAAAGTCTCTATAAATACTTGAGATAAATATATTATAAGTTTGAATCTTTTAAGAATACATTTTCTATATTTACCATTTAAATTTGATTTTTAAAGAAAAAAGCTAATTAGAATGAAATGAGGAAGACAAAATATGTGTGTGTGCGTGTGTATATACATAAAACTTGGCCCCAAATTCTCAACTAGCCACCCTAAAACATGAGTTTTCAAAATGTACCACAGAGCAATCAGTAACTTCCATATATTTAATTAATGACCAATTCAAATTTATGAACGTTGATACTATTTACTAGTTCCCCTACTATGACATTAAAAAAAAATAATCCTTTCTACTCTGCATAAAATCCTATAGTCAGTGAAATCAGCTACATCTCCCAATAAAATTTTTTAAAAACTTAAGGAAAAATAGGAATGACTAAAAATGATTTACCTGCTTGATTTGCCTTGGAGAGATCCTGCAAGCACTGTCAGATGTTGAACACTGGGCAGAGGTAGAAAATGAAGCCATTTTGGCAGTGAAGAAATTAGTCTGTCGATAAACCTAAAAAGGAAAAAAAAAATTACAAAAACTTTTCTAAAGTAGAAAATTCTCCTTGAGATTTACAAAAAAAGCAGCCAGCAGAAAAAAGACAAATATGTCAGAACACCCCACACAAATGCAATATAATATATCCATGCTGAAGTTCTTGATACCCTTCTGATCACTTTCTAGTTCAGATCCTACAAAAAACTCAAGCCTACACATCATCTATGCAATCTACCAACTTAGCTTCTGGAATATGAAACTTTTTAAAGTTTCAAAGGTGGCACTGAGGGGGACCAAAGTTTTGCCACCTCAAAATATGCCTTTTACGATACTGATTTTAAGCTGGTTATTATAAACAAAAAATTCAGAAACAAACTTTGACCCTCCCCTCTTTACCTGACAAAAAGAATTCTGCTTAAAGGGACCATTAGTATCCCAATATAAACTAAACCTGGCAAACAGAGAAATCTAGCAAAGCCTGTTTCCCTCAGTTCCACTGTTAATGCATGGCCTGTTTGCTCTTATTAACAGAGGGAAGGAATAAGGTGAAGTAGGGGCAGTTCTAAGATAGGAGCATAGTCTGTATGGAAGAAATATTTACTACTTTTGATTGTTTACAGGCAACAGTCCAGAAAGGTTATGCATATGCAGTATTCAGTGGTGTCTAGTGGTCAGCTAACAGACGCTTGGAGACTGAGTCAAAGCTCCAATATACACTCAGAAATGTGAGCAGTCTTTTGTTAATTGGCCCACAGCCATTAACTGGTTAATTATTTCTGCCTTTTTTCTCTCTCCAACAGCAGTAATTTAGAGTTCTTCTATTGTCAATAGCAACTAAATACCTACAAAATGAGTTAAAGCAAGGTGGACATATACCATCAAGAAAGATATATCATGAATTAAAATAGAGTAAGATATAATTTAAAATTCTCACCTACCTTTTCTCCTTGGCCCAAAAAAAAAAAAAAAAAAAGCCAGAGAAAAGGAAAATAAATTTTTAAATAATCTTGAGTTTACTTCAGGCTTTTTCAGCAAAAAAAAGTGACAATCTGTGAAATTTATGAATAACAAGCCACATCGGGAAAAGAGTCAAAGGAACCTAGAAAAATCAACAAATGGTCTGGCTAAAACTAACAAGATTCCTCACTCTTTTGAGAAGACTTACTATTACAAAGTAAAAATTTCTCCCTCCTATCAGCTTCCCTTCATACAGAAAGGGAAGTCTAATAGGATACAAGAGTAACTTACAATTTTAAAGCAGCTAGCTTTAAATTAGCATTTCAAACCTTATAGACTGGGGGCTATCCTTCCACTTTCTAAATTATTCTAGTTGGTTAATAATCAAATTAACAGACAGATTAATAGGAGAAAACCAAATTTTAATACATGCAAATGGTGAATTCACATAAGCATGAAAAAATCGAAAGATAGTGAGGCAAAATTGGGTATATATGACATTTTGGACAAAGGAGAAAAGGGGAGGGGATAGCATCTTAGATTTCAAAAGTGGGAATGGGCCATTCATAGGTAATTGAGGAAGAGAGGAAGGTACATGGCAGGTATTTTTGCTAAGCAACCCGGAAACCAAGGGGCAGGGTTGCAGGGGAGGCTGTCTAGTAAACAGCCCCTGCTTGACACCATAGTCAATTCAGATTAAGATAAAGTAACTATAATTAAGATTTCCTTCCTGGAGAAGGTTTTTCCATCTGAATCTCTTAGGCAAGAAAAAGGAGAGGGTCAAAAGACTTTTTCTGAGTCTTAGTTCTTAATAAGTACTTTAAAACCAATATTCCAAAAGGCAGCTTTTGATTGTCAAAACTTCAGTCACCTTCAAAACCAATTCTGTTCTCCCCAAACAGGCTAATCCCGTGATCTTCCCCATTTCAGTAAGTGGCAACTCTATCCTTCCAGTTGCTCAGGTCAATGACCCTGAAGTCATCCTTAATTCCTTCTTCTCTCACACTCTACATCCTGTTCATAAATAAATTCTGAAGCTGCAGATTCAAAATATTTCCAAAATCCAAGCACTTCCCCCTACTTGCATCATCACTCCACTAATGAGAGCCACCTGCCTCCTAACTGCATTAGCCTCCTAAATGTCATCTTGCTTCCACCCTTCCTTACTTCTCAAGCTCTGAACCTCCGTTTATCTTTGCTCAAATGTCAAGTTTACCAATGAAGCCTTCCATGACCACCCATTTTTAAAACTGCAACTCTCAACTCCCAGTATTCCTGCTTTATTTTTCTTCCCTGTCCTTGTTACCAACACACTATATATTTTAAGTATTTATCATGTGAAACATGAGCTACAAGTGGGGAGAGATTTGTATTTATTCTTTCATTAATATATCCCCAGTGTCTAAACTGACAATTACATATATCGTACAGTGTCATGCTGTATACAAATATTAATAATAGTGTGAATGACTTCCAAAAATGGTCCCCAATGAGCCACATCTCCCAACTGGTTCTGTGACATGATTTAATCAATAGAATGCTGCTGTTCAACCAAAAAATTCAATTTCCAAGGACGGGAGTCTTTTTTTTTTTTTTTAAAAGAAAGAGTTATTAGGCCATTGCCATCAAGAAAGACCAGGTCCTGAAGCATGAAGTCCAAACTACCAGCAGCATGGCAAGGTGAAAAGACAACATGTCCACCATCCTGGAGCTGTTGAGTGTTTTTTATACATTAAGTAGGAAGGAGGGAGACATAAGCCATTCTGAAAGCATTTACATTATCTAGAGATAAAGGGAGTGGGAGAAACTAAAGTGAGGCCAATTCTGGGATAGGCACGCAGAGGCCCCAAGGAAGTTCCATGGATCAGCTGTGGGCAGCAGACTGGAAAGTTCATACGTAAGTAAGAAGTGAGGCTTCTGGGGTTCCATGAGACCTGGCCAGTCTTTCAAATAATCTCAGTAATAGTCACCTGGAAATTAATCCTAAATTCAACGGATGTACAGGAATGGGAGCAGTCTTTCCTCAAAACTGGTCCACAGATGCTAACAAACTGTTCTCTTTCTCTCATTCTCTAGCCACCGTAATTGAGAACGTGTCAGAAATTTTTAGTCACAGAGGAGTGATAATGTGTCAGTTCCAGGCCACATAGCTTCATTTTTGTACTTCTGTAGGCCTCTAAAATCTGGCTACTCTACTGGAGACCACGCAGAAAGAACATGTGGAGAGGTAGGCTCAGTTGTCCAGCTGAGCCCCAGCCTTCCAGGCATACCCTCCTAAGCAACACACATCTTGAGACATTTCAGCCACAGCTGACACCTGTTTACTATAGCTAAATGACAGAACACAAGCAAAACCACCAGAAGAACCACACAACTTAGCCCATAGAATCATAAATAAGTAAAATGGCTGTTGTTTTAACTCTCTAAATTGTTGAGTGGTTTATTACATAGCATTAGATAATCCAAACAAATAGTAAAAACTTACAGAGAACTTACTCTATACCAGGCACATATACTAGCCCATTTATAGCATAAATATTTATAGCCCATATATAGTCCTGTGATGTAGGTAATATTATTATCTTTTACAGATAAGACAAGAGAAGCATAGGAATGTTATCTGCCCAAGACCACATAATAAATTGTTGGAGTCAAGATTTCAAACTCAGAAAAGTTCTTAAGTCCCCACTTAGCATTTATTTTTTCCTATTAGACCTCAAATGCACAGAATTAATCACAATCCTTTCCTTCAAGACATACTCTCATTGTTCATCTATACATGGCCCACTTTTACTTGATTCGTTTTAATAAAGCAATAAGCATCCACCAACTAAGACTCTTTGACAGTCTATACCTAACCATAATATCCCCCATCCCATTCACCTGCCTCCCCGCAACAATCATCTTGAATCCTATGTTTTGATTATCCAGATGGAATCCTAAAAAGTATTTATATAGTTTAGTTGCTTTTAACTTAAAAAAAAAAAAAAAAAAAGGCAGGTATGTTGTAATTTTAGGAATTTTTGTTTCACTAAAATAATTTTCACTGCAGTTCTTTAAAAAAAAATTGTGGTAAACTATATAACAAAATTTACCATTTTCAGGTGTACAATGCAGTAACAGTAAGTTCATTCACAATGTTGTACATCAACAGCACTATCTCCAGAACTTTTTAACTCCCCAAAATCCCCTCTCCCCAGGCCCTGGTAACCACTATCCTATTTTGTTTCCATGAATATGCCTATTCTAGGTACCATGATATAAGCTAAATCATGCCATATTTGTCCTTAGGTGCCTGGCTTACTTCATTTAATATGTCTTCAAGGTTCATTCATGTAACAGTATACTATTATTTTTTGTTTGACTGCTGTATAATATTTTAGTGTGATGGACATTTTAGTTATTTCTAGGTTTTCACCATAGTCATGCAACAACATAAGGACGTTTCAGTCAAGTATGGACCACATATACGGTGTGGTCCCACGGATTATAATGGAGCTGAAAATTTTCTATCACATAGTGACATCATGTCCTTAGTAAAGTTGTAGCACAATCCCATTAGTCATGGCTTTCACCACGGTCTACTTAATCAATTCTGCAATGTACGCTTGCAAAAGTCTATGTTCGCTAGGTTAAGGTTGTTGTTTTACAATCTTATATATCTGTTGATTTGTCAGCTTAACCTATAAATAATTGAAATGCAATGAAATTTCCCACTATGATGATTTGTCCATTTATCCCAGTGTAGTTCTACCAATTTTGCTTCATTTATTTTAAGGATTTTTAGTCAGAGGTACACATGCTTCAAAATGCTATATCTTGGTGAACTGTAATTATACAATGATTACTATGTAGTGATTCTTTCCATCCCAATTAAGACATTCTGTCTTAAAAGTATATTTTATTTTATGTTAGTATAGTCATGCCAGCTTTCTTTTATAGTTAGTATTTTCGTGTATGCATTTTCTCAATGTTTTACACTCCCTTAAGCTTTTGGTGTGTCCTTTGTAAAAAGCACATAGCTGGACTTTGGGTTTTTAATCCAATTTGTCAAATTATATCTTTGGTGAATTTAGTCCATTTATTGTAACTGATATATATGGATCTATTTAGCATTTCAGTTTGTCCTACTCTTCCTATGTTTACTTTGCTTTAACACTAGCAGAAAGTGTTGTGCTATTAAAAAGACACTAGTCTAAGAGCCATGGAAGTCACATAACTTGCCCAAGGCGAAAGCTTATCCTTTTTCACTATATCATGCCGCCAGTTAGTACACTTGATGCTATACACATGGACTTTTTTCCCATAAGTAACTATAAATGTATTTTCCTTATAACTTCCTTAATAACATTTATTTCCTTTAGTTTATTGTAAGAATATAGTACACAATATATATCATACGAAATGAGTTAATCAACTGTTTATGTTACCAGAAGGCTTCCATTCAGCAGTATAGATTAGTCTTAAATTTTGAGGAAGTCAAAAGTTACACGCAGGTTTTCAACCGGGGGAGGGGAGGTAAGCACCCCTAATCCCTGCATTGTTCAAGGATCAATTGTAGTTATTTTCAGTTGCTCAAACCACAAAGTCAGGAGTCATCTTGATCTCTCTCCTCCTCCATTATTACATCATCAAACCTTATAGATTTTAAGTCTTACACCTTTCAAAACAACCCCTACTCTTCATCTTCATGACCACATCCTCAAACCAAAAAGTGTTACTTCTTGCCTGCATTACTGCAGCAGACTTTTAACTAGTCTCTAACTCCACTTCAATCCAATCTCTACACTACAGCCAGGGTTAAAAGACCAAAAAAACAAAAACAAAAATATCCTAGTGTCAGGCCCTGCTCCCCAGCTTGCTAATGCTCTAAAGATAAACATGGAGTCTAGCCCTTCAGCACCTTGCTAGTCTTTCTGTTCTTTCCCATGTGCCCTGTGCTCCAGCCACAGTGATCTTTTGGTTTCTCAAACAGGACCATAGCTTCCTGCTTCAGGCCCTTTGCACACGTTGTTCTTTCATTTGAGCACAGCTGAGTTCTGTACAAGACTGACTCATACTACACCTTCCAGTCTCAGGTTAAATGTCTGCATCAACAATAGATGCTAAAACCACTGACATGAAACATGGGTGGGGGTGGGGGAGGTTAAAAACACATGGAGCAAGCTTACAGCACTTAACTCAGTGGCCAAACTTATTTCTAAAACAGGGTCATTCACACAGTATGTACTTCCTGATGTGAAGCAATAGAAAACACCCAGTACCTCCTATGAAGCATTCTTGGGGGGAAAAAAATTAATCAAGCTTCTAGATCTGCTAACTACTTGTCTGTAGGAAAATGGAGAGTAGAGAAATAAGTAAACAATACTAAAAGCAGGCAATTAGCCAAATTCAGAATGTAGGAAATTCTAAAGGATTGGACGGTGGAGAGTATGGTTGAACTGGGGAGACTGTTATAGAGATTTAAGTATAAACCTAGCACAACGTGTGGATGTGGCTGAAGTTCTGATTCAAACAAGCCATCTGTCTTTTTTCCCCCTAAACAATCAGGAAATTTTTAATTATGAACTAGGTATGAGATACTATTAAACTGTTGATTGTAGTAGAAAGGCATTGTGGTAATTTTTTTTTTAAATCCTGATTTCTTAAGAGATAACATGATATATGACATATCTTTGATATGCTTTAAACAGTTCATTAAAAAGGTGGGAAAAGTAGAAAAAAATAGTATGAAATTAAAACGATGGGTTTTAATTACCTTGTTGAATGGTATATATCGAATGTGGAAGAAATCACAAAATTTGTTTACTGTTATCTCAAAAAAAAACTAGTACCCTCAGAAAATATTCCAGTTACATAAAAGAATCAGTATCACTAACCTGTAATGCTTTGGCTCTCTGGGGGTTTCTTTCCCATTAATAATAAACCCTACAAATGACTACAGTAAGCTTAAAAGAAAACACCTGCTTTTAAATGAATGACGGAAGAAAGTCCTTTTTGCATTGTTCTCTGCATGCTTTCAAATGGACTCTCCCTCGAGAGATGTGTTTGTTGAAAGAAGCCAATTCGGCTTCATTCCACAATACATCAGAACTAGGAATACCCCAGGGCAAACCAAAATACCCTGGGTTTCTGCGTGTTTTAAGAGTGAAAGACTATCCTATATGGGCCTGGAGAGCTAATGCAAACTCACCAGCCTCACTGGGGGGTGTGTACATAAGCTTTCATCATCTGTCTTCGGTGTAACTCTCCATTCCATCTCCATACTCTTTTCCAAATCTCTGAATAGTGAACTCAAGTTTCTCAAATTTTTCTACCCTTTCACCACTCACCTCTCAGTATTATTAGTACTGAGATTTTTCAAACTACAAGTTGTATCCCAGTTGGTCTTAATGCCTCCCTTCTATTAAAGAAATCAAGTAGAAAAATAAAAGTGAATTAACAAAGCTAAGCTTTGGTCTGTGGAACATGTTTCTGTTACTGACAACAGCCAACACTTACCACACTTAAGCACCTTTACGGTAGGTGCTTAAGCACCTAAGAGGTAGATTACTACCGTCTTCATCTTCAGAAGAGAGAACTGAGGCAGAGGCGGATAACTTGTCCCAGAATCATGGTCTGCAGAGCCAGAGCTCTTAACCATTACCCCTTCTATGTATACTGGGTCATGATGTAAAACTGATTTTTTTTACTGTAGGTCATGGTTAAAAAGTTTGAAACCCACTGCCTTAGCACCTGTCCTTTCTTCTCTTCTATGCTCTATTTACTGGTTTCAAAAATTCTTACTCATTCATCTACCTTGGTCAAAGTTCATTTCCTTGGTCAAGGCTTTTCTCAGCGACTCTGCAAGGGAAGCTGATGATACCAGAGCCCATCTATTAAAAAACTTACCACATTATATTTGTTTTTATGTGTGCCCCCTACTGAACTGAAATCAGAGAGAAAGAGCAGTCCTATTCATCTCTCAATGATGAGTGGGTTTTACCCTATACTTATTTAGTCCAAGAGACTCCTACACGTCATCTTCAAACCTTTATCTTTGATGACAACTGTGATTTTTAAGACTAAAACAAAAACTTGTCAGAAGTTAGCAGATGTAATCATTCTTATCAATTCTTTAAAGCCCTAAGGATCTCTTTTAAACACTATTGTCTGATTCTTTCAATACATGAGAGGGTTAAAGGAAAAAATTCACATGCCAAAAATGGTATTGCTTGTGCTAAAAGCCCATGATACCAAACCTACATTTAATACCTGATAGAGCTGCAGTTTCAACCTCTTTCAGAAATGTAATCTTAATCAACTGCTCTGGAATTTTCTGGTCAAACTAGTAAGGTGGTCGATGTGAGCCCTCTCCGGCCCCCACAGAAAAGAGGTAATCTGCATAAAAACCATTCTCTTTTCTTCCTTAAAAGGTGTCCTGGTTCGAAACTAATCCTTCCTGTATGTAAATAAAATATAAATTAAACGAATGCTTCCTTTCCCTTGCCCCACCCTTTCCTATTAAAATCTTCCATTTTGTACAACTCTTTGGAGCTCCCTTCTAGTTGATACATAGGATGATGCCCAATTCATGAATCTCTTAATAAAACAATTAGATCTTCACGTTTACTCGGCTGAATTTTGTTTTTTAACAAGAATAATAAAAACAACGTTTTTTCTTTTAAAAATTACTATCAGTACGTTAAACTACTATTACTACTACGTTTTAGCTCTTACCGGGTCTGCTAAGTAAGCATCTACAAAGATGGGAAGGAAGTGTGTGCAAGAGCATACACTTCAGCAGTTTGCAAAACAAACGACATGCCAGGAAAAACCTAAAAATCCATCAATGGAGAACCGGTTAAAGAAACTATTGTGCAAGCCTATAAACAATACTATGCAAGTCTTTAAGAGTACTTTATGTATGCTTTATGTAAAGCTGCCCAGGTATTATTTGAAAAACTTAAGGTTCAGAACAATACACATGAAATGATCCCACTGTTGCTTAAATGTGAATATACGTAGAAAATTCAGAAAGGATATAATCAGTTAACAGTAGCTAACCTGAGGAAGAAACCAGTTAGAAATGATGGATTAACTTCACACCTCAGTTTTGTGTGCATTTTTTTAAACAGGCACAATTTTAGTTTTTAAAAGACTATATAGAAAGCTGTGATCTTGACCAGTATTGATAAGAGGAAAGAGCAACACCATTTTCTCTGGGCGTCACTTTGAAACAGTGGTTAACTCTAGAGTGTACAGGAATCAACTGAGAGAGGTGTGCTGATTGAAATACATATTCCGGAGCCCCAGCTCCTAGTATTGTTCGGGGAGGTCTGGGTGTGGCCCAAAATGATCATTCTTCAAACAAGCCCGCAAGTGCATGAGTCAGATGGTCCGCAGCCCCGAAAATCACTACCTTAAAATCTTGAGACATCTCCGTTATTCTCCCCGCTTCCCTCACTCCCACTTCTTTCCTCTAAAGTATTCCTCAAATTCTGTGTCCAGTTAAACTCTGTCAATATGACTATTTAGATTTTAGGCTTATAAGCTGTTGGCGTCCCGTCACTCCACCTCCATTTTTATCTTCCGGAGGCCCTCATCCCACAACCCGTTCCCCACCAGCCCTTCTTCCGCCCGGCGCGACAGCCCCAAGGCCGCCACCCACGCCGCAAGCTCCTCCCGCCTGCTCTCCCCGCTCCGGGGCCCGCGGAACCCGCCGCGCCGCCGCCCGCTCCCCGCTCTCCACTTCCCGCTCCTGCCTCCCGGCGCCGCGCCGAGGAAAGCCAAGAGCCACACCTTACTCTCACTCCGCGAGTCTCTCCCACACCGAGCGCGGGAGAAAGCGGACGTCAGTCACAGGTCCGCAGGCCTCAGGAGCAATTATAAGCGGCGAGCAATGAAAGCGCAACTTCCGGCCTCCCAAAACCATCTCACAGGAGAGCTTCCGGCGAGGCCTCCGGAAACCATAGATGGTCAACTGGAAGACTAGAGAGCTAGAGAGGATGCTCTCTGCCCACCATAGAGTAGATTCTCGGTGCAGGAGAGAGAGTCGCGCGTGCTGGGCGTCTAAGAGTTGCTAGGTTTCAATACCGAACATTTCAGGAACTGACGGGGCCTCGTGGTATTTGCAGACGTGTCCTAGGAGATTGAAAAACTGAGAAGGGCGAAACCTAAAAGCATCATCAGAAGCAACCGTCAGTTCATCACAAAAGCCCCATTCCCTCTGTCCTTCAGTGTTATTATTACTCCCCTAAGGAAGCTGAAGAAGGGAAACAGCATCCTAGTGTTGTTGCTAATTGGAAGAGATAAAACTAGATAGACTCGGATCAGTACAAGCTATGTGGTAAATGCTAAAAGTGAGATGCAAAGAACAATGAGATGGAGCTTATATGGATCTCACAACCAGGTCATCTAATCTCTCCCAATGTAAAAGGCAGGCTGTCCTCAGCCTCTGCCGGTGCCAAACGGCATTACCTCCCCCAAATACCTCATTTTATTTCAGGTTAATTCTAAAAGAGGATTTTCTGAGCCCAATTATGTTACTTTGTAATTTCTATTGGTTTCCGTTCTGCACTTTGGAGAAGAATAAGGCTTCATTCTTCCCAATACAAATACTATTTAGTTATTTGAAGATAGCTACTGATGCAGGAGGGAGCAAATTTCCAGGAGTTGAGGGGGAGACCAAGCCCTGCATGGAGAGAAGAGGGTCCTTTGCCGGAGAGTGTAGAAAGAATTCAACACACACACCGAAGTTAGAGTCAAAAGGAAAGTTTATTAGAAAAGGAGTAACACTCCACAGAGTGTGGTCTCCTCTCAGAGGCAGAATGAGAAGGACAGAGTAAAGACACTGAGAGAGATAGTGAGAGACAGTGAGAGGAGCCAAGAGAGATGTGGAAAGGCAGTGAGAGACAGAGTGAGTGTTCAGGAATCCAGTTTATACGTCATTCTTTAGTTCCCATTTCCTTTGATATGGACATAACAGTGAGGAAGGGAAAGAGTATGTAGCAGTGAAAAGGTAAGAATACGTAGCATGAAATAGGAAAAGACTTTGTCGGTTCCTCTTTCCCCTTCACAGATGTGGGGAAGGGATTGTTAGCAATCCCAGTAGAAGTCTTCCTTTATTCTGAAGGTGTCCTCCTGGCCTGGCTATAGGGCTGATCAGCATATTGCAGTCTCTGAACGTAGCTTGATTTAACATTTTTAATTCTCTTGCTTCCTCCCTGCATTACTACCACGTCCCATCCCTAACTCTCCTTTGTATTTCTACAGGCTAAAAATTCCCTCCGAGGGTTCAACTACAGTTGACCCCTGAAATATAGAAGATGGTTGGGGGCTCCGGCCCGGGCAGTCAAAAATCTGCTTATAACTTTTGATTCCCCCAAAACTTAACTACTGTTAAATAAAATGCAACCAAGTAAATTTGAAGATCTAATTGGCTTATTAAGCGACTCACGAATACTGCAGTATCCCATCTAGCAACTAGAAGGGCGCTCTGAGGTGTTATACAAAATGGAAGATTTTTATAGGAAGAAAGATGAAGCAAGGGAGCTAATAATAAACACAAGAAAGGATTATTTGGGGGCCAACATACCTTTTCTTCTGGGGAAAGAGACCAGGAAGGATTTTTATCATGCAGATTAATTCTTCTTTCTGTGGGGGATGGAGAGGGCCCCTGTGACAGATTATCTTCCTGGTGCTTGACCAGAAAACTCCATAATGGTTGATTAAGATTGTTTGTCTAGGAGAGATTGCAACTGTAATTAGATCATGTATTAAATCTAGGTTTGGTTTTATGGACTGTCAGCACAAACCATGCTACTTTGGGCCTGTGGTTTTGTTTTTTTTTTAACACCACCAATAGCTTACTGTTGTCTGGAAGCCTTACTGATAACAGAATCGATTAACACATATATTGTATGTTATATGCATTAAATACTGTGTTCTTACAATAAAGCATGCTAGAGAAGAAAAAATGTTATTAAGAAAATCAGAAGGAAAATACATTTACAATATTTATTGATTAATCATGAATCGGTGGCAACCATGAGGGGAAAAAAATCTCTGTTCTTAACCATGTCCTATTCAACATATATCTATCAAGGCTTTAAATAGAGACTAAATATGTTGATCAAAACTCCAGGCAACGTTAACTGCAGCTCATCAGTTATTGAATTTAACACATTCTCTTTACCTAGAAAGTCTGACTCCTCCTCTAGACAGATTCCAGGTCTCACTGATTTTGGAATTTTCTAGGTTGGTGCGTGTAGGTGTTCAACAAGTATTTGTTGATCTTAAACTGAATTACATGACAGGATCATAATTCTAAGAGTTCAGGAGACAATAGGAAGAGACCTAAACTAACTAGATACTATTTTAAAGATACGAAACAATCTCCTGTTTGAGAATTTAAAATTAAAGTTAATTGCACAAGAGGAGAAATAGTTGACAGTGGTACACACAAAAAAGCCATTTTTTTTAAAAAAAAGGATGGTTGTTGACTTCAAGCTGTCTGGGAGCAACTGTGAAAAAGGAATTTATTCTTCAGCGCATTTACATAACTCTGGATCACCCAGCTACAGGGGAGGTTATGCCGGAAATAGAGTAAGGTGCAATGTGCAAATTAAGGAAAGCTGTTGCCCCATTTTATATTGCATGGATCTGTATCTAGTTCTAGCTCTGGGAGCCACATTTTAAACAGAGCAAACAGGTACTTGTTCAGAAGATGGCGACTAGGGTTGCAAGGGGGCTTGAAGCCATGCCAAATAAGAAATACAGTTGACTCTTGAAAAGCATGACCCTTGAACTGCACAGGTCTACTTATATATAGATTTTTTTCAATGCTTATTATGTGGCAGGCATTGTTCTAAACAATATATATAACTGTCATATAATTCTCACAATCATCCTATTGTCCTGATAATGTAGGGGGGAAGCAAGGGAATTAAAATTGTTAATAAAGCCACAATCAGAGAGTGCAACGTGCAGAAATCAACGCTGCAGCCAGGCCAGGAGGACACCTTCAGAACAAAGGAAAATTTCTGCTAGGATTGCTAACAACCCATTCTCCACACCTGTGAAGGGGAAACAGGAACCAAGAGTCATTCCCTATGGCTAAAACCATGGGGAACCTAAGGATTAAAGGCTGAGAACTGCCAGCAAGTCTTTCACTCTACATATTCTTACCTTTTCAAGCTACATACTCTTCCTGTTCCTCGCTGTATGTCTATATAAAAGGAAATGGGTTAACAAAGTCTTTTAAACTATAACTCACAGGAACTAAAGAAAGATATGTAAACTGAATTCTCTGAACAGTGCTTTTACTCTCTCTCACTGTCCCTCTCACTCTCTGCCTCTGAGAGGAGACCACACTCTGTGGAGTGTTATTCCTTTTCTACTAAACTTTCCTTTTGACTCTAACTTTGGCATGTGTATTGAATTCTTTCTTCACTCTCTGCCAAAAGGACCCTCTTCTTTATTTGGTGCAGGGCTTGGTCTGCCCCCAACTCAGAGAAATTTGCCCTGTTGTGCATCATTGAGACACAGAGAAGTAGCTTGCTCAAGGTCACCCAGTGGTAGTAAGGATTCAAACGGGGGCACCTAACTTAAGAACCCATGTAGAAGTATTTATGTAGAAGTATTTATCCTTTCAATTTCTCAATATATATAAATGCACCCTTAAAATTTTTTTGAAATATTTCCTAACAACAATAGTTCGCATTTACCCCCCAAGTTGTATTCTTCTATAGCATGATTAGTAATGGCTGTATAAGATTCTATATTAGGGCTGTACCATAATTTACATAGCCATTGATATATCTTTTCCATTTTTTTTTCAATTAAAATACTGTGATAGTCTCTCCTGTAATCGGGTCTTTTTGTACATACCTGATTATTTCTTTCTTTAGGACTAATTCCTAAGAGTGGAATTGCTGGACCAGAGCAATCACTCCTAAAGCAATTGGAATTCAGCAAATGGAATTAAGGGAAAGCAACATCAGCTAACAAAAACGCTTTCATGTCCCACTCTAAACCCCACGGTGGGTAATTCTCAACGCCAGTGCTGTAGCAGAGGGCAGTGTTCAGGTTACTGGTGGCTGTAGAGAAGAGCCTCCAATACCAAGATCAATAAAATCTCTTTGCTAGCATCTTCGACTTTCCCGACTCCGCGGCTTAATAGGGCTTCCGCCCCCATGGTCACTACTGGTGACCTCTGGGGTTTGCTGTCGCTTAAAATTACAAGACAATCTCGCCATACTTCTTCAGAGTCCTTTCTCCCACTTTATACTACACAGTTCAATCCAATAGCTTCAGAACAGCATATTTGTATTCTCTTAGACTTTTCTTTTTCTGTTGTCGAGTAGGTTTTAGAACTGATATCCACTCTATTTTCAATAGTATAATAGATCTGATGTCACTATGGAGCTTCAAAAGTGGCATGATTTAGGTCTTGTGTTTTGCTTTGGCACACGAATCTGGAACTTTCTTGGGTTAAAATAGTGTCACGAAATGCAGGCGAAAGCAATTGATTAGACAGGGGTCCTTGTTCTTATGTAAGGTGTTGTGGTACAGCCGCTTTGCGGCGAGGGCCCGGATAGCTCAGTCGGTAGAGCATCAGACTTTTAATCTGAGGGTCCAGGGTTCAAGTCCCTGTTCGGGCGCTTTGCTTTAATTTTGGTCTTTACCTTTTTTTTTTCCCCTCAATTATTAGCAATCTGAGAAAAAAAAATTATTTCTCGCTGGAAAAGCACCGTGCAAAACATGCTTTCCCAGAAACTAATTTTTACAGTCACTTTTTTCTGCCGAGAACATTTTTACCTAGCATGTTCTGAAATCAATAAAAAATCACATGAATTCAATTTAAAATATAAATAAATTCGAACGTTGGGATTATCGTGTATTTGGTAACCTTAAGGGCACGAAAAACTACAAACGCCCGAACAGGGACTTGA